GTGACCGGCTCCCGGTGCAGACGGCTCCCTGTTATAGTGTTTCCTCACTTGGCTCATGCGAGTCCAGCCCAATTTTTACTCTTTTTACTCTTTAAGTGTGCGCGTATGTGTGTGTGGGTGGGGGTGGGGGGATATATGTGTATTGAGAGTGTGGGGAGTGAGTTGGAGGGTGGGGTGGGCTGCTTTTAACTATGTAAAGCACTTTGTGCTACATTTTCTTTGTATGAAAAGTGCTTTATAAATAAAGATTGATTGATTGATTGATTGAATGAGGACACTGGATGAGAGACTACAGGTGGTCAGAGACAGATTTGGAGATGATAAACTCTGACTGTTCTAATAATACATTAATTATTTAAAATATTTTCTTACGTTTTTGGATACAGCTATGAGACTTGAGTTTGAAATGTTGGCAATCAGCTGTTCAATCTGTTTCACAATGAGTACTCTGTTTTTATATTTATTTCATATACTTTAAGTTCAACTTATGCCACTCATTATCCAGAACTCATTTTTAACTGTTCATACTGTTCTTCTTCTGTAATAATTATTTATATTTATGTATATTATTTAATTATTTATATGTAAGACCACTCTCAAAGACCACTGTTAGCTTTTGTTGTTGAACTGGTTTGTTCCATTTTCCTAGGAAGCCCTGAATTGTGTCACACATTTGGATGCTTTGACTCCAGTGATACTTAACTCTCTTTAACACTGGATGAAGATGAGGCCTACCATGCAGACTTTAAAATTGGTTTTTGTATCTGGGAGAGTTGTTGCAGGAGCATTCCTGTATGTGAAAGTGAGCCAGTATCAGTGTCCTCAGAGTCCAGCTGGTTAACAGTCATTATAATGTACATTGCACTCTGATTTGATCATCCTTGGTTGTTTGGCAGTAGGAAATTTCAGGTCATTCTCCCCTTCTCTTGTCTCATGTTTTAACACAAAAAAAGACCTCAATGTCAGATTACAACTATCTACCGTGAGGTAGATGCAAAAATTCTAGTATATCATAAAAACCAAGAAAAAATATATCAATGAAGTTGAATGACTTGCACATCTGTGAGGATACCAGTTTGTCTTTCTTAATTGTTTTGTCACTTGATTAAATTACTGTGTTTTATATATTCAGTAAATATCTAACAGATATTTACATTTCGTTCCTTCCAGTAATTGCAGTATTTCCACAAAAATTACAATCCATGGTGAGGCATCCTTCCATCAGTCTGTACATCCAAGGCTACGTTCACACTGCAGGTCTTAATGCTCAATTACGCTTTTTTGACACTACAAATAAAATGCGACAGCAAACGCGCTCTAGTGTGAACCCTCAAAGCGGCCCGCA